ATCTTAGTTTTCGGTCTAATTCAATCTTTGTTAATTTTCATTAAGCAGGTACTCCAGTATTGAAATATCTCATAAAATATGTAGGGGGTCTGGAGTTATTAATGAGAAATATTCTCTTGAGGGTCTTAATGACAAGCCTAAGAAGCTTCATAGATAATGTAGTCTATTCATCTTCTTCTTTTTTACTTTTTATTTGTGTGTTATTAGTTTTCTTGTAAATTTTTTTAAATATTTTTGTTGATTTTCTGCTGGGGATGCATGTCTGCTTCAACAATAATTATCGGCTTGATGTTTTTACTAATATATATACAAGTTCTTCATCAATGTCTGTATCCGTTACGAGCATCTTTTTATTTAATTAACTTTCTTGTTTGTGATTGTATGTAGAATTAATTGAGAGTCACAATTGAGGGATGTCTAATTGTTAGGAAAGCCATTGCATATGGGAATGGATTCCTAAAAGTATGTGAATTGTAATTCACGATATCTTCTTCTTCTTCCAAGTCCTTCTATATCATGTACCTTTTAATAATTGTTTTGAATTTCCTTTAGAGCATATTATATGAAGATTAGTTATTAATTTATTGTTATGATCATAATCTATATCTATCTATCTATCTATCTATCTATATCTATATTATTATAAAAGTACGAATGTTTCACGCTAAATATTGAATGACTAAAATATTCCTGAAATATTGATCGACTTTTATACCCTTTTAGTCTTATTTTACTATATTTCTATTGGTCTTTTGGTAATTTAACAAATATCATAGTTACTTTTCTAGAAGAATAAGGATTCGTAATATAAAGTCAAGTTTTTTTGGTTCGAGACATAAACTCAAGTTAACTCCAAAAGGAATTCATATCCTTAGTAGTTGAATTAGAGTTACTTTACAACTAGACCAAGTACGAATTTAAATAGAAAACGTACATTGCACAATTCACATAATGCTGAACTCGTGANATTTTTATATTGATCATCTCTTTTCAGTACAAATGCGGATAATCTATATAATTTTATCTCTATTATCTAACCATTATTATTTTTCAAATCAATTTCTCGCAAAACAAATAGTAATAAATTAATAGTGTGATATTCATCTACATATTATTTTTTAGAAAGAAAAAAGATAACAGTATTCTCTTGATGATACTCTCTTAATTGAAAAGTTTTCGGGAGAGAATGATCAAAGCTTACGTGAGATTTGTACCGTGTGAATTTTTCTTGATTTTTTTAATACTATATTTTAAAATTTCAAAATATATAATATGATATTCTTTTTTATTTTTTCTTTATTTGTTTGTTAAAAAACTAAACAAAGAAGAAGATATTGTTTCTATATTGATTAAGAAATTCTAGAAAGGGAGGTCATTACGTATTTTTTTTTTCTTTTTCTGTTTATTTATTTGAATTATCCAAAAAATTTGTTTGTACTTTTCTTCTTTATTTTATATAAGTGATTATGGTTTTTAAAAAAATCTAACCTCCTTAATGTTTTTGCGCTAAAACTCACATAAATTTGTACCGCGGAAGCAAATTTAATTGTTTTATTATTTTATTCAAGATATTTTATTTATACTTTATAGGATAATGTTTTATGAGATTTCTAAGTTCCAGATATGTGCTTTTGACCCACTTTCAAAGTTCAATTTTATATTTTAGATCTCAGTGAAAGATTAATACTATAATCTACATATAACCTCAATTTGGTTCACCTTTAAAGTATCAATTTTCACACTAAAAATAAAAGTAATACCAAAAGGGATGATAAGCAGGTGAATCTATTTGATAATGTCACAATGAAAACACTAGTGAGGCTGTTAAGTCTAACTTTTGAACCTAGGAATTTAATGAGTGCAGTGACCATCCAAGTCTTCTGTTAATTCAGACAAAATTGTAAAGAGGTACAAATTTATATTGAGAAAATATGACAAGTTTTTAAATATTTTATTTTGAGCTTCACTTAATATACACTTTTAATATCTACTATCTTTCGTTACTTTTTTAATTTCTCATCATTTTTTATGCCCTAAAGCATTACGTGCGAGGCACGTACATAGAGACCAGTACTATGTTAAAAGCACGAAGGTCTTTAGCGAAATGTCGTTCGCCTTTTTTACCTCTTAAAAATAAATTTTACGTTGGACAACATTGTCATTTAATAATTTTCCTAATATGTAGGACTTTAAAATCAAATGAAATTTAGTTTATTAAAACTTTCCTTATTTGTATTATTAAAAGATTTCTTCTTACTCTAGCAAAAAAAGAAATAGAGAACGTGACATTAAAAAAATTACCTATGTTAGTTATGTGTTTAAACAGTGAAACTCGAAGGATTCTAATTTGTTGTTTTCTAACGTAATAATGACATAGAGAGTTTCTTTAATTAAATATAAAATTTTATCAATTTATGAAATTTAAAGTGATAGATCTATTATTTAATTTAAAAAAGATTAAACCGGTTCTCTAATATAGGTAAAATAACATCATTCCATCGCAAGTAACTATTTATATATCTATATCTATATCTGTATCTATATCAATATCAATATCAATTTAATATACTATATTAAAAGCACGAAGGCCATTAACGAAATGCCGTTTGCCTTTTTTATCCTTTAAAAATATATTTCACATTAGACAAAATCGTAATTTAGTTATTTTCCAAATATTTAAGACTTTAAAATCAATTAGACTTTGATTATTGAATCTTTCCTTATTTAAATTACATAAAAAGTATATTTAAGACTTTAAAATCAATTAGACTTTGATTATTGAATCTTTCCTTATTTAAATTACATAAAAAGTATATTTAAGACTTTAAAATACATATTATTTGGGAGAAGTAAGAGTATTACATTCTCTTTTCCTTATACTTACGGGGATTTCCATATGAAATATGTTTGACGTTCATTGTTCTTATAGGGCAGGTATAATGCCAAGGGAAAGCTTCTATATATTAAAAGAGAGAGGTATGTGATTAATTAAATATTTTTCTTAATTGTTGAATGTAATTTTTAAATATTATACAAAAAATCGATGAAAAAAAATTGTTGTTCGAGTAGGAAGATGTTCAAAAATATCTATACTTTTTATATCCCCAACACAAAATAAATAAATTATTTTTAATATTGAGGATAAAATAATTTGTCTTTGAATTAAATAATTAGCAAAAGAATTCAACTTAATTCTTTTTCGCGATCATCCTGTGAGTAAAATTATTTTTCAAGTTGATAAAACTCTTTAGGTTCATAAATTTATTTTCGCATGAAGAGTATTGGATGTGAAAGAAATAAGAAAAATAATAAAAAATTAATTAAATATTTAGTATTAATTTAGTTTGTGCTTGTTTTCAATATTAAGTAACAAAAACAACAATAATTTTCATAAAAAAGTTTTCACATAAACTCTCAGAAATCACAATAAGTCATAAGAACTTTTGTAAGGCAGATTCTTTTATTTATTGGACCAGCTAAGTTGGATTACTATTTATTACTTTTAGGAACTTATATCTTTTTCTTTAATTTGTGTCCAATAACTCGAACATATTAATTTAATAATAGTTTTGTTATCTTTTAAAATTATATATTCATTGATGGGGTACACGTGCAAAGCGCGTACCCTAAGACTACTACTTCTAATATTGTTCCCTTTCAAAAAATATTTTTAAACAAAAAAGGGCCTATTGCCCCTGAAGTACTGAATTTGGTACAATAATGCCCTCCTTCCATATTTTTGAATAAAAATGCACCTACCTTTTAACTTCTGGCTCAGCCATGCCCCTATTTCTAACAGCCTTTTAATTATTAAAAAAAAAGTTTTTTAATCCAAATATAATATTTTTATTGCCTGAACTTAAAGACCAGCCCTAAATACTAACCAACTCGTAACCCGCTCCATTATCGACCCGCCCCCTTTAATTCATTTTTACCCAGTAAAACAAGTCGTATAGTATTACTTGTATAGTATTCTTATAGATTAAAAAAATAGAACAATTTGCATTTTGTTTGCGAGGAATAAAAAGACCTCTTATGTCAATTACATGATCATATTTATGTCTTACCTGACCATGTTGTGTCTTTTAGAGTAAATTTAAAAATATATAGTTTTTCAAAATTATTTCACTACAATATAATGCGTTTATAGCTACAAAACACAGCGTAGCAAATGATGAAAATTTTCGTGGCTAAACACTTTAGCTACAATTTTTTTTTTCCGTAGCATTCGTAGCAAAATGTAGCGTAGCTAAAAGTTAGCTACAAACTTTACATGGTCCGTGGCTAAAGATTAATACCTATTGCTATGAAATTTTTGTATTGTAGCTATATATATAGCAAATAGTTTTATACTTTTGCCACGACAAATACATTTATAGAAAATGATTTTATACTCTTGCCACGACAAATAAATTTGTAGCTATCTTTATATGGTAGCCACAAAGTGTTATAGCGTGGCAAAAGATTTAAATTTACTTGCCACACGAAAATTTAGATATGTAACTGCTTTAATGTAGTAGTCCGTGGCAAAAATATTTTTATTTAGCTACGGACTAAAAGTTCCATGGCTACAAATCATACAGAAGTCGTGATTAGATTATTTTATTATATTTTAATTTTTTGACAAAAAAGTTAATTTATTATAGTGACAGTTCCTCCTACAAATCCCCTATTTTTTAGCTATTTGATATTTTTGTAAATTTTCTTAACTATTCTGTGGATGTACATAATATATTAAAACTAATAACATATTAAGCTTGAATAATAACTTATTCTGCACAAATTGACATTTAAAAAATTTCACAAAATAAACTCCAAAATACACTTTTGTACTAATCAATTAATAGCATCTGCAATAAATAAGTTTTCTACAATAACTAAAATTTGTAGAAAAGAACTAGCCAATGTGAGGCTTGATTGTAACAGAGATCAAAAATAATGTACAGAATTTCACATTAAATGAATATAAGTATTTGCTTGATGATTCATGTGGCCACCCTCATTGCATCCTTGATCTTCATGCCTCCAAGAATATATGAAGCACTTTCCGTAATCATTATACTGAAATAATGAAATAACATGATCTTGTGAGAAACTTATATTTGAATTATCAAAATACATACCTATTTAAATACATGTACAGTTAGTAATTAAAAAAATTCAATAAATTATGGAATAAGAAAATACTTAGCCACAAATCAAGTGAAAAAATTCTAAACTCTTTTCAACACAGAAGACAAAAGAAAACGCATTTAAGTAAATATCATAAACTTAAGGAGATGAAAGAAAGAAGTAAAGCTCACAATTTGGCATTAGAAGAGATTGAAATTTCTCAAAGTCGCATTTCTCTTGAGCACCCTATAAATCAAAAACAAACAATTGAAGCAAAAACCCAAGTTAATTAATTGTAAGGCACAAAATCTATCAAATCTTCAACATCGCACTCACCACTTACAAAAAAATAAGGCATAATATCTATCAATTGCTAGAATAACTCGTAAAATTGAACTTAAAAATCCAAACCCAAGTAAGTGTAAGGAGATTCAAAAGCCCTACAATATAGAGACATGAGCTTACTTGGGAAGAGACAAACCAATAAATTAATTTTTTTGTCCTTAAATGAAAAGCAGTGAAAAACCTTCTTACTCCTCTTTGTCTTTCTCACATAATTAAATTAACACCCACTAGTGTGGATGAAAGGAATAAGAAAATGGGGAGGGAGAGTAGCATATTCATGCCTGTACAAAAAGCAGACAGGCCACTAACCATATTGGTTGTTTGTATAACAATGTAGGTCAAATACTTAACACAGGAGATGAAGTGGAAGATGAGATTCTAAACTTCTACAAAAATCTGCTGGGAACAGCAGCAGCACAATTACCAGCAGTGAATACAGAAGTAATGAAGCATAGGAACACACTGAATAGGCAGCAACAATTGAACCTGATAAGACCAGTAACTGAAGAGGAGGTCCAGCAAGCACTTCAAAACATAAATGACAGCAAGGCTCCAGGCTGTGATGGATACAATTCTTACTTTTACAAGAAAGCATGGCACATAATTGGCAAGGAGGTGACTCAAGCTGTGGTGGAATTCTTTGACAATCCACAAATGTGTAAGCAAGTGAACTGCACTACCATAACTTTGATCCCAAAAGTGAAGAATCCCAGTAGCATCAAAGAGTTTCGACCTATATCATGTTGCACTGTGCTGTACAAGATCATCTCTAAAATCTTAACAAGTAGATTGCAGGAAGTATTATCAGAGGTGATAGATAACTGTCAAGCAGCTTTTGTTCCAGGAAGAGTGATAACAGATAATATCATCATGAGCCATGAATTAATAAAAGGATATGGAAGGAAGAATACATCACCTAGGTGTATGCTCAAGATAGATATGCAGAAGGCCTATGATTCAGTAGAATGGGTATATGTGGAACAAGTAATGAGGCAGCTGGGAATTCCAGAAAGATTTATAACTTGGGTGATGACATGCATAACCACAATATCATACTCAGTTATCATAAATGGGAAGCCACTTAAACCATTTGAAGCAAAGAAAGGGCTAAGGCAAGGGGACCCATTATTACCACTGCTTTTTGTCATAGCAATGGAGTACCTGTGCAAATTACTTAAGCAGCTAAGGAACAACAAGAACTTCAAGTTCCATCCAAGGTGTGCTAAAGTGAATCTCATACCGTTAGGATTTGCCGATGACCTGCTACTATTCTGTAAGGGAGAGGAGAAGTCTATGGTGGAAATCCATAAGCAGTTTCAAACTTTCTCCAAAGCTTCAGGTCTAATAGCTAACACAAGCAAGAGTAGTGTGTATTTTGGTGGAGTAGACAACAGAGTGCAGCAAAGAATTCTGGATATACTAGGATATACTAAAGGTGATCTACCTTTTAGATATCTTGGTGTCCCATTGAGTACAAAGCGACTGTCAATAGCCCAGTGTGAACCATTGATAGATAAAATGTTGAGTAGAGTGCAATGCTGGACAGCCAAGCTCCTATCTTATGCAGGGAGAGCAACACTGATCAAAAGTGTCTTGGGAACACTTCAAAACTTTTGGGCACAGGTCTTCATACTACCTAAGAAGATCATACAATTCATTGAGACAATATGTAGGAGATTTCTGTGGACTGGGAATGCTGAACCAACAAGGAAGGCACTGATTGCTTGGGACAGACTATGTATGCCAAAATCAGCAGGGGGCTAAACTTCACTAACATTGAGATATGGAACAAAGCAGCTATTTGTAAGTTGTTATGGAACATATGTAAAGAAAAGGAGAAAGTATGGGTACAATGGGTCCACATTTATTACATAAAAGATAATAGCATCCGGGATATAGAACCTAGGAATGCATCCTGGGTAATACAGAAGATCTTCAAGGCAAAGGAGCAATTTCAAAAGGCAGGTTACTCAGAAGATGAAGTGAAGCAGATAGGAAAGTTTTCCACCAAGCAGATGTATAAAAAGTTACAAGGGTACTTCCAAAAGGTGCCATGGAGAGGACTTGTTTGCAACAACAAGGGGATGCCTAAATGGATCTTCATCCTAAGGTTGGCAATCGTAGACAGACTAGCCACCAAGGAAAGACTTGCTAGATGGGGTAAGCTGGATGATACAGTGTGTTCTTTATGCAATCGAAGCAAAACAGTGCAACATCTTTTTTTTGAATGTGATGTCACATGGGAACTATGGCAGAAAATATTACAGTGGCAAGGGATAGTGAGAAGGAAGAAGCAGTGGCATGAAGAAATACNTATATAATTAACAACAACTACAATAAAACAAAATATGTGTTTGATAAGTCTAAAAAATAAATTGATAAGTTTTTGGTGCTATAAGAAGGTAAACAAATGAAGTATTATTTGAGAATAAATACTAATTTATCATTTTAAATAATTATTTAATCTCATATACAATTACTATTTTCTTCCTTAATCATATACAATTATTATTTTTCAATCTTATAAGAAAAATACAACAGTTACATTTGACTATAATATTTTATTACCTAATAGCGTTAGTTAACTATTGTCATAATTTTTATAATCGAGCAAAAATATTCATCATTTTTGTCATGGAAAATATTTTCATTTTTTAAGCCAACTATTTTTATTTTCTTTATAGTTTGAAGCAAAAATACTCATTAGCTACAAGATTTTGTTTCGAATAGTTTCGTAGGCCTTTAAGGTTATTATTACTATAACAATTAGCAAGTTTTAACTTGTGGTAAAAGTTAATATTAACTATGAAAGTTTATCAGAGCAATAAATTTGTGGCTAGATCAGTCTGTAATGAAAATAATTATAGCTATTAAGCCAATTATTGCCCTGTTTAGCATTTGAATAAACATGGTTTAATAAACNTAAAAGGTTACTTTTGCTACAGTAACTTTCAGTTTGTAGCAAAAACTAACAATTAGCTACAATATTTTGTCATAACAATATATTCGTGGCTATATCATTTACCTATTGCCAGAGTTTTATATAACTTGAAGCAAATGTATTTCTTTAGCTACAATAGTTTATTTCAAATAATTATTGTGGCTAAAAAGTTACTATTGCTACAATAAATTTTAATGTGTGGCTAAAATGTATGAATTAGCTACTCAATTTTATGGTAGCAATAAATTTGTAGCTATTTAGGCAATTATTACTACGATTGTTAGCAATTATAGCAAAAATAAGGAATTAGCTACCAATTTAATTTTCGTGGCTAGCAAATATTACGAATTTGTAAATAGCAAGGAAATTCTAATTTTTGTGGCTATTGTTAGGTATTAGCCATGATTTTTAAATTCGTAGCTGAGATTTCGTAGCTATAAATACCTTATGTTGTAGTGTTTTTAGATAAACTCTTAAATTTTCAAGGGTTTTATATTCTTGTTAAAACTAAAAGAGAAGCATGATTACTATTTGCTTGTGAAATTGAAGTAATAAAATTATGGGTGAAGTAATAAAATTATGGGACTGAAAAGAATATTAAGTTGATTATATTGATTGAGATGATGGAAAACTTGCTTTATTGAGTTAATTAGCTAATTAAATAGAATCAAAGATTGTCATTTATAAAAAAAAAAAAAAAATTATACTCTCTATTTAGCTTATATTTTATAGCTCACACATAATTTTCAATTTAAAATATATGTAATTCTCTTAAAATTTTATACTCGTTGAGACAGGATACACCAGAGATGGATCTAGGATTTTAGCAGAATGCGTGCTCTATTAAAATGGGGTGGACCCAAGATATAAATTTTACATGTTCGACCTTTAGTTTTTACTATCGCGCATCCGTTACACTTTTGAATTATAAGTTCAAAATTAAAATTAAAAAATAATAATTTTCTTGCATCTATATCTATTATCCATATTGAAAATGTCGGGATCAGTTGAACCTATTGATTATATGCTACATCATACACTGCTACTAATAATATATATGCATATTTTGTTTAATCAAATAAAATTTTATGGTGACAAAAGAAGAAATAAGAATTTTAATGTGTGAAAATGTTGAAAGAATAAATCAAAAAAAATAAAAAAAAATAAAAGAGAAAGTACTTAATTGATCGCAAAAAGGAGAAGTTTTATTGTGTGCCTCACACAACTGACATTAGTCGTGTGAGGCTCTTTTTTGTCTCACGAATTTATGAACCCCAATCTTATACTTCTGGGTCCATAAAAATTCGGGTCCACAAAATTGTGAGACAAAAAAGATGCCTCATACACCTAGTGACACTAGACATGCTAATCTCCCTTGGGCGTCTAGTTCTAGGGAAATAAAAGAGAAGAAAAAACAACAAAATTGATTTAAGATTTGACCTCGCAACCTCACTTAGAGTGAGATTTGACCTCGCAACCTCACTTAGAGAGGTAAACGCAGTAACTATCACATTATATAATAATTTGAGCATGGACGCACACATATATATTTAAGTATTTAAAAAAAAAATATAATATTACTATACATGATTTAGGGAGGGGAGCATGGTTCACGTGCCCCATGGAACTCCCCTAGATACGCCCCTGGGATATACAACGCGTATTAATAAAGAGAAAGGTTGAAGATTTAGAGAGTGAGATAGATATTTAGAAAAGTTATTATATTTTACTTAAGATAGGAGGACGCGTATATGTTATTTTTAAAGTTGGAGGGAGAAAGTAATTGTTACATTAAAATTAGATGAAAAATAATAATTTTACCCAATATTAGATGATAAAAAAAGTGTATAATTCTTCACACGTACACGTAAGCACAATAGAGCCAACAAATCATTGCTTCGTCATATCCTTTGAACCAAATATCAGCGTTACGCCTAACGAGGCAAATACCTTCCAGTTCCATGTTCCCACTTGTCTTTACTCTTATTTTTTTTCTTCTTCATATTTATCAAAACACTTAAAACAAGATTTTACTTAAAATTTAGTATTTTATAAGAGTTTGTATTATTTGCTGAAAATTTAAATACCATAATAAATTTACACTTCATTAGTCGAGTTGTTACCAAGTCAAAATAGTGGCTCCTATTGAAGTTTGTGTTCTTGTCATTTTATACGTTGGTCTTGTTTATAATTTTGCATTACAAAATGTTAATTTATATTCCCTT